TGACAGAATCAGGAAAAATTGTTGATTACAAATATCTTTCAGACAATATGCTATTTCAGAAAATGACTATTTTACTCAATATTTTGAGTGGTATGTATTTTTTGTGCTTAAGAGTATCACATTGTTAGCTTGATTTCAAAAGATTTCAAACTTGATTTCAAAAGAGTTTGGCATTAGCATGTTGAAGGTTAGGACTCCATACAGGGGGAGACACAAAATGACAGAATCAGGAAAAATTGTTGATTACAAATATCTTTCAGACAATATGCTATTTCAGAAAATGACTATTTTACTCAATATTTTGAGTGGTATGTATTTTTTGTGCTTAAGAGTATCACATTGTTAGCTTGATTTCAAAAGATTTCATACTTGATTTCAAAAGAGTTTGGCATTAGCATGTTGAAGGTTAGGACTCTATACATATAAAAAGGCAGTTCAGTGGCTTTTGGAACAGTGTTATTTTAGTATTAGTTATATACTATTGTAGTATTAATTAATATTTTGAATTAGTTTTTATTTTTATATGTTCAGTGTTCTTTTTAATTATTATTTAGCTTTATTTTATTTTATTTCCGTTTTAGCAATTTTGATACTTCAAATTAAACTTACTTTATTTCAGTTATTTGCCAAGGCAACAATTCTTAATTTTTTTCATCTAAAATTTATATTTTATATCAGCTTTATTTCAATTAATGAAAACAATTTTTAATAATTTCAGTTAACAATAACACCTTTTAGAATGGAGTCAGTGAATGAAAAAGAAAAAGAATTCCCAAACGCCCTTACCTTTCTTTCTCAGCCATGACCTGTACAGGGCTGAGCTGGTTGCTCTTGTTGCCGGTGCCCAGCTGGCCGTAAGTGTTGGCCCCCCATGCATACAGTAGGCCCTCATCGGTCAGTGCTAGAGAATGAGCGTAACCTGATGCAATCTGTTAAAAAGTGACACAGTGACATGTTTTACAATTGTTCCACCCATTTACATTTTACATTTCATCGATATGGTCAAATGAGTTGTGTGGAAAAACGAAATGCTTGTTTCTTCACTGTCAATTCTTGTTGCGTTTATGTGCACTACTGTTCAAAGGTTTGGTCGGTACATTTTTTAAAAATGTTTTTAAAGTCTCTTATGCTCACCAAGCCTTTATTTGTTTGATTAGATCATACAGTAAAACAGTACTGTTAAATAATATTACAAATGAAAAGAACTCTTCTATTTTCATGTTTAAAATGTAATTTATTCCTGTCACATAACCCTTCAGAAATCATTCTGATATGCTGATTTGGTGCGCAACAAACATTTCTTATATTTTTGTGGAAAAATCAGTTTCAGGATTCTTTGATGAACAGTTATTTAGAAGAACAGCTTTCTTTTGGAATAGAAATCTTTTGTAAAACTATAAATGCCTTTACTGACACTTTTGATCAACTGCTTTTGAATTCTTACTAAATAAATGTATTACTTTCATTCAAACAATAATCTAATTGACCTCAATCATTTGAACGGTAGTATATATTACCATATTATTACATGTACAACTAATAATCTAAGAACATGGCAGATCTTCTGTTTCGTACCTGCACCACACAGAAGCCTTGTAACGCAATCAAACGACACGGTGTCAGCTGGTTCCCATTGTTGCCTAACCCTAGCTGGCCATTACCATTGTAACCCCAGCCATAAACCTGAAATGCACACACATTTCACCACTAACAAACAAGCAACACAGCTACAGTGAGAAATACAGCAAGACACCACACAAGCTCTAAATAGTCACTAGTCAACACAATATTTTACAAAGCACATTGCATATTTCCATAAACAGGAAGGTTATAAATGGTTAATTTCATCCCTTACCTCGCCATTATCCGCCACAGCCATGGATGAAGTCTGTCCACAGGCTATACTGACCATCACTTTGTTCTGCAGACAGTTGGACACCTTGCGGGGTGTGGGCTGGTTGGCGGTGGACCCTGAACCCACCTGACCACAGTTGTTGTAGCCCCACGCAAACACCTAGGACGACATACAATTAGCGGCCAAGTTAATTAGCAGGGACGTTAAGATAAAAATATTCCTTTATAAAAACACACGGCAGCCAATGTTTTTGTGTGAGCTACAGCTAGAACTTTTAATGAAGCTGAATATGAATTATTACCACAGACAAACACAGAGTGTTACACACGAGCTGATCTTAGTAGTCACAGTGAGAACAAAAGCCCTCACAGCTTAGCAAAAAAGATCACATGCTCCTTATTACCGCGAGCACAACGAGGCTAAGCAGATAACTATACTTGCTAAACAGATGAGGATAGACAGGAGGGTTTTGTCAAACCTAAATCCACCTAATACCCTTTAAAATGTAACCTACATATTTAACCCACTACTGAAGTGTTTCTAAAGAGACTGATAAAAGCGAAATTGTTACATGCAAAAGAAACGGGAAAGATTTTGTTTGGATTATGGGATTAGCATGTGACACAGAGCAATTTTAACAGAATTTTCTATATTTTGAAACTATTTGTTTAGTCCATGCCATCAGATTCACAGTATGTCATTAGTTTAACCCTAATTAATGGACATATCTGTGCACCAATAGGTTGATCTTGGCATTTTAACCAATAGGCAGTGTTTTAAATCAACCACAATGGAAGAAATTTGACTTAAAAATACCTCCATGTGAGAAACACAGCTGAATCAGTCTGTGGTCCACTAAAGCCTCTAACTCTCTTACCCCAAATAAAAGAGTACATCTCAGAGAAATACTTCTTTAAAAGAGACATTCTGGGATAAACAACTTATTATGCGGTCCTTTTTTGTCTGTCTTATAAAGCAAATTCGCCAACAGTGGCATTGCTAGTCTAGCATATGTTCTACCTTTCATATGTTCTGCTGTTTTTAATCAATTTGAACTGGTTTATATTCCTTTTTGGGGCAAGGCTGGATTATTTCTAAATGTAATAATAAAATGTGACATATATTAATGCAACTCATCTGTGATTTTTCAATTGTATTGTTGAGAGAAAACTAATCAATATTTGGTTAAATGTCCAATCTCTTATGTATGGAAGCCCATTTCCACCACAAATGAAAAATAATTATCATTTACCAAAACATGATTTGGCATAATTATTACAAACATTTATGAGAAACTAAGTCATGTTTATGAGATAAAAGGTCAAATTTATGAGAAATGCAGAAATGTTATGTCAAATGCATAAACGTTAATGAATGCGTTCATGACCTCAAGGTTACATTATTGTAATGCTTTATTGGGTGGTTGTTCTGCACGCTTAACAAAAAAAATCCAGCTGGTCCAAAATGCAGCAGCTAGAGTTCTTACTAGAACCAGGAAGATTAGCCTGGTTCTGTCAACTCACTGGCACTGGCTCCCTACTGAACATCGTATACATTTTAAAATCTTGCTAATTAATTATAAAGCCCTGAATGGTTTAGCTCCTCAATACTTGCGTGAGCTCATATCACATTATAGTCCTTCACATCAGCTGCGATCTCAAAACTCTTGCTATTTGATAATACCTAGAATATCAAAATCAACCACAGCCGCAGATCCTTGTCCTATTTAGCGCCTAAAATCTGGAACAGTCTGCCTAGCGTTGTTCGGGAGGCAGACACACTCTGTCAGTTTAAATCTAGATTAAAGACCCATCTTTTTAACCTGGCATACACCTAATACACTATCACATATCTATAACTCAAATCCATTAAAGGATTTTTAGGCTGCATTAATTAGGTCAACCAGAATCGAGAATACTTTCCATAACACCAGATGCATTCGCTACATCATAAGAAAAATGGCATCTGTGCTAATATTAGTCTGTTTCATTCTTATTCCGAGGTCACCGTAGCCATACGGATCCAGTCTGTATCCAGACCAGACCTAGAGACGACCTCTACAGCCCTGAATGTCAGCAGAGACCATGTCAACTAGATGAGCCCCAGAGACAGATCCCCTGCGAAGACCGCGTCAACTAGACGACCATCGGCACAAGACCACGGGAACCAGACAAGTCCTCTGTGTTACAGACTGGAATTAAACCACGCCATGCTGGTTTCGTCTGGCCCCCCGACTGAGCCTGGTTTCTCCCAAGGTTTTTTCTGTTTCTATCACCGATGGAGTTTTGGTTCCTTGCCGCTGTCGCCTTTGGCTTGCTTAGTTGGGGACGCTTGACTGACTGATTGCACAGACACTACTGGAAGAGAGCTGAACTGGATGATGACATCACTGAATCATCAATGTTATTGGTCTCTCGCATTACTGACAAACTATTTTCCTGTTTGACACTGTAAAGCTGCTTTGACACAATCTGTATTGTATAAAGCGCTATGCAAATAAAGGTTTAAAAAAAAGATACAATTCTAAATTATGACATTAGACATAACGAATAAAAAGTTAATCATAAAGCCAATTTTGACAAAAAAATGTCATAATTTGCCATAAAGCAAAGCATTTACCAAAGTGGCGCAAATAGGCTTCCATACTCAATTGAAATGTGACGAAAAACTGTTCCCAAGCCTCACCTCACCCTCATGGGTTAGAGCCAAAGAGTGGTGAGAACCACAGGCAACTTCAGTCACTCTCTTGTTCTGCAGGTTAGTAGACACCAAAACAGGAGACACACCTTGATTGGTCGTCACATTGCCCAACTGACTGTATCCATTATGCCCCCATACATACAACTCCCCCTCTGTAAAGAGAAGAAAGGACTTTGAATAAGGCAATAGTATCAAATACATACCCATTACTATGTTTAAACATTTAAATAGAACTGTAATGTATCCAGACAGGCAAGTGATTTCACATTATGCCTCTACTTTAACTATAGGCAAAGCCACAAAATACTTTCAGTTTACATAGAATATAGGAATTCAAGCTTGTACTTACCTTCTGTAGCGAGCAGAACATGAGGGCCACTGCCATAGCTCAAACTAACCAGCTTCTTCCCAGTCAGACAGTCCAGCTTTTTAGGAACAATTGTGCTCTGACTGTCTCCAGTGCCCAGGCAATTACTGCAGTTCAAACCCAACACGTACACCTGTGTCAGGACATCCAGATTAGTTTTCATATGAAGGTACAGAAGCCCCTCGTGAACCTTTATTCTGTCAATACAAATGACTAAAACAGGCCATGTAAGCTTACACCACCAAGACTCACACAGACAAAGAAGATACTATCAGTTTCTTGATCAGCTTACTTCGTCATCGTGGGTGATATAGATGGCCTCATTCGCAGATGTTCCGAAGATGCATGCCTGTCGTATGGAGGCGAGCTCCTGTGCACTCAAGAGGGTGAAGAGAGGCCACTTACTCACATCCACCATGGCAACACTCCTTTGTAAGAGCAGGGGATGGGGTTTGGAGACAAGAAGATACCTGCTGTGTGTGCCTTGGAAACTGGACACATACACTATCACTCAAAAGTTTGGAATAATTAAGATTTTGAAATGTTTTCGAAAAGACTCTCACGCTCTCATGCATTCATTTGATCAAAAATACATTAAAAACAGTAATATATAATAATATAACAATTTTAAAAACTGTTTTCTGTTTTAATATATTTTAAAATATAATGTATTCCTGTGATGACAAAGCTGAATTTTCAGCATCATTACTCCAGTCTTCAGCGTCAAATGATTCTTCAGAAAACATTCTGATATGCTGATTTGCTGCTCAGCTCAATTATTATTTCAAGATCAACCTGAGGTAAATTGCCTTAACAAGGATGTCAGATGACCACTGCACTTGATTTGATATTATATCCCATGATACCACAGCTCACAACAATTTACACAACACACTTGCAATAATATACAGAAAGGTTTTTGTGTGTGGAACAGCACTGAACTGATGGGTCACAAAGCCTATTTGTCTGTTGTTTTGTCACTAAAACATTTCGGTGCAGTCCTTTATAACGGACCAACTGCTAAAACTCACTAGTTACAGCTTTCATTGCATCTGTCACTTTTACAGCTGCTCAGGGATCAGTCACGACCGTGTAGCAAAATCTACAGTAAAAACAAAAGTAAACAGAAGACTGCACTGTCTGCTAGTGTGTAATGTGCACGTGAAAGAAATCGCTAAATCAGCAGGGTTGGTTTAAACATATCTTCTTGCAGGCTCGCGTTACTGTACGTATAAGCAAACTCAGTTAGCCTGACAGCTACTGCATCGCTCCATCAGGACATGAGAGACTCAGACTACAGGAAAAAAAACGGTTTTCACCAAGACAACGCCACAAAACCTACCTAGTAACTACAGGAGTTTGGGACCATGCAATTAGCGAGTTATCCAGTACCTCTAGTAGCCTGTGGCGCCAGCAGTATGTCCACGGGAGCGCGTTCACATCAGAGAGAAAACAAACTCACTTGTTTCCTGATCATGGTTGCTACGGTTCCATGAACGACTGCTCAACTGTCCAATCACAGACTGCTTTGTACGTCGCTCCTACTTCATGGATTGGTAGAAGCAGAACGCTGGAGATGGAGGGGGCGGGACTTTGCGGAATAAGGATGACAAAATACACGCGAGGAAAAATAAGGTGTAAAATAAGCCACATACATGATAATAATAATAGTAAATGTAAATAAATAAATAAATATAAATGTTAGGTCAAATGTAGGCCTACTTATTGAGTTCATGTTGAACTGTGCAAAACACTTGCTACTATTAAAGTGGGTTAGGATTAGTGGGTACCGTCGACAGTGTAATTATAGATGTAACTACAGAAATTAATTACATGAGTAACTGGTAACTACACGCAGGATTTTTGAAAAATATTAGCACAACGTACACAATTAGTTCATTATATCTATTGATTAATTTCAATGTTAGTATAGGTAAAGACACTTAATATAAAGTGGGTCCATTATTATTGATGTTATTATTATATTCTTCTGCTATTTTAGTAGTGCCACCCGTAGCAGCAGAAGAATACTGCTGAGGTAAAATCTTAGAATACAGAACATTTATATATTTTTTATATACGTTTACGCTTTTACCTTAGCAGTAATATTCATTCAAATAGATTCAAAATATTCGTTTTCATATTTTATACACATTATTGTCAAGTCATACAGGATCATTTGCATTATTCAGTTCGGTTTCTGGGATCCCCGAGCAGGCTGGCCCGCGTGTAAAGTTGACAAACCTGTTTTAAAATGTGGATCAACTAGTCGGGCTGAATTCACGGACAATCCTATATAGTTTCAGCTACATGTAGCCGGTCACACAGTGTCGCTTCTGCTTTGCATACGAACATAAAACGAAGAGTGCAATAAAGGACTCCGCCAAATGCCAGTCCGAACCTGCCGAGATACAGACAAGAGTCCGTAAGTTCAATCAGAAACGCGCCTTTCAAATCAGGATGGGCGCCATTAAGTCTAAACAATATAAACAGACTCCTCAGGTTCTCCTCATGGGCTTGGATACGGCTGGAAAATCTACTTTGCTGTACAGGCAGCAGCGTGGTGTGGTGATGGAGACCTCACCTACTGTGGGCTTCAATGTTGCGACTGTAGAGCTGGACAAGAAGACCTCACTGGCCGTGTGGGATGTTGGGGGACAAGGAACTATGAGGCCCAATTGGAAATACTACCTAGAGGGATGTAAGGTCCTGGTTTTCGTGGTGGACAGCAGTGATCATGCCAGGATGGGAGAAGCCCAGAAAGCCCTGAAGAAGATTCTGAGTAATGAGCATTTTAAAGGAGTTCCCCTGATGGTGCTGGCTAACAAAAAGGACCTGCCAAACTCTATGACTATTAGAGAGGTGTCTACATTGCTGGAGCTGGATAGTTGCACAGATCGAGTATGGGAGATCCAAGCTTGCAGCGCCCTGAAGGGACTGGGTCTCCAACAAGCCTTTCTCTCTATAGCTAAGCTAATGCACAAAGCATAAGTAAGATACTAAGCTAACAACGGAATACAATAACAAGCAAAATGAAGAGGTTTGATCATGATACTATCATACTAAAACTAGACCTAGAATGTTGGGCAAATAATTGACTGATTTAACTACTGCACTACAACTACTTGTTCACAGTTGCTGTATATGCTGTAAATAGTATGTTTATTTTTTTTTACTTGTCTTCATGGTCTGCACTTCAAGTAATTACTGCAAACAACTTTTCCTTTGTAATTGAATGCCGTGTTGCTGTGATTTTTATGAGAATCCTGTCTTGTGATACATACATTTTGATATTGGAAAATTTATTGAGGGAAATTCATAGAAATTGGGTGCTTTTAAATGCAATTTCAGTCTTAGGTAACACTTTACGATAAGGTTCAATTTGTCAAATTTAGTTAACTACATTAGTTAACATGAACTAACAATGGAAATTTGTTAAATAATGTTAATGCCACTTTGTCATGATGCCATCATATACATCATGGATATTTTGATTTTGAAAAGCAGCTTATGCATTTTAGATCAAACATTGCCTTATCACAAATAGGTAAATTCATATTTAGACTCTTAATTTAGACTCAAATGGATTGGATATACATTACAACTTTATTTGGAAACTTTACGGAGTCGAATCAATAAGAAATGGGGTGATTTTAAATTCAATTTTTGTTTTATAGGCAACACTTTCCACATGTTCCATTTGTTAACATTAGTTACCATGAACTATCAATAGAAAATACATCTAAACATTTATCGATCTCAGTTAATGTTCATTTTCTGAAAGTTGTTTCTGTTAATATTAATGATTTGAGCTAACAATAAACAGTTGTATTTTTACTAACTTTAACAAAGATTTATAAATACTGTAACAAATGTATTGCTCATTGTTAGTTGACGTTTGTTAATGCATTATCTAATGTTAACTAATGGGACCTTATTGTAAAGTGTTCCCCTTTTATATTGTTTACACATGAAGCTGTAGTGAAATTACAATGCCTAAATTGTGCAATAAACTAATCTTTGACATTGCAATGATGAAGTAATACCTTAAACCTTACATACCTTGTTCAGGCCTGCATATATAAGTGACTATGACCAAAATATAGCAGGCTAACCTGTTATGCTGTCATAACTTGGCAAGAAATTAGCTAACTCAATAGCACAGTCTATGTAAAAAAAGAAGCATGTGATGAAACATGAATTGACGTAACTATTTACAATATAATCTGGATCCAATTTGTGCTTTCTATCATACTGGATAAGGTAGTTTGGTAAGGGGAATTAGTAGGGAAGCTGGTCCTAGATCGGTGTAAAAAAAGCTAAATAAAGGATTTACTGTTTAGGTGTCATATGGCAGGAATGCAAATAATACTAGTAAAAGTCTGTTGCTATGAGTCAGTAGTTTGGTGTGAACTTCCTTTGTGTCTTTACCACTGCAATTATGCAAAGATATGCCGTAACAACTGTTCCTCTAATATTCTGTGTACGCAATAAATGTGTATAATACATCAACTGCAGTACATCCTCTCCACATCTCACTCTGTTGACTTTGAAAGGCTAATTATAACTGAGATAATTATATGCTTGATCACTGATGATCTGATTTTATCTGTTCTTCTTCTTTGGATACTGATGCATCCTTCTCAAATCCCTCCATGACTGCAAAAGGAGGAGTCCAGGCACCACCACCCAGATCCCATTGAAGAACAGCAGGTAGACCCACAGGTACAGCCAGTTGCTGGTGTTCAGGTTAGGGCTTCCGATTAGCCAGTCTGGACAGAAGGTCATCCAGCCCCCGTACAACTCACACACACATAGTGTGATCTGAACAAAGTGCCTGGTTCAGAAAGAAATGCGAGACATTTACACAAATGCATAAAACAGTGTTAAATATGAAGAACCCTAACTAATAAATAATTTTATTTTGCAGATTGTGGGATGGAGTTTGAATTGGAAATCAAAGCTGGATTATTGAGATTGTGGGGCAAAAAAAAAAAAGGTTAGAAATTTAAGAGAAAACATTGCGTTATCACAAATAGATCAAATCATATTTAGACTTTAATGAACCTCAAATGGATTGTATTTATATTTACACTTGCAGAATGAATAAGTTTGAAAACTGTTGCCTGATTTACCTGTAGTGTTTGTCTTTGATGATGGCGTAGACTAGAAGCAGGGCCAAAGTACCATCTAAAACCACTGTCAGAAGCTCCAGAGATACTATTGTCGGGTCAGAGTACAACCAGCGCTCATCTGCCTTGCCATATTCTTTCCCTGTTAAACATTAACATGCATTACATGTACAAGACAACAGAAAGCAGAAATGAACTTTTCAAGGTAAATGGACATTTAGGAGGTTTTGCATCTGCATTCAAGATGCACATAAATTGCTTCAGGAAGTAAGACATTCTGTAACTATTTGAGGTCCGGACTGGCAGAAAGTGGAGAGCCTCAAGGGAGCTGGAGGCAGCAGAGTCTAGGCCGGGTCACTTTTTCAGCTCTAGAAAGCAAACTTTTTAAAATTTGGCTTCCTAATATTTTCAGGACTGTGGAAACCCTGGTTTAAAAAAAAAACCTTTTTTTTGAAAACCCTATTTTTTTAGATTTAGTTTATTTTGAATGCTGTTTTTGTTTTAATTTAAATCGTTCCATCATCTTGAGGCCCCCTGGTTGAGAACTACTGATTTAAAGGGATAGATCACCCAGAAATTAAAATGTAATTTAATGTCTCAATATTTTACAAGGCTGTCAAGAACTATTGCCTAGTCTTGGATTATTTAGCAAGCAAGTCGTATAGAATAACTATGGTCACTGTATGTATTACAGCAAGTTTTGTGTTTCACAGAAAGAAAAAAAACATAACACACGTTGAAAATGATATTAGGGTGAATTTTTGGCTGAACTACTCCTTTAATATTACTACTGTTTAACGCAAGTCACATTACACAAAACCGAGCGCTTTCTAAATTGTTTTTGATTGTACAGAATCTCTTAAGTTCAATGAATGGACTTTGAAATTTGTACATCATACCTACCAACAAAATACCTATAATATATATATATATATTACCTGGAGATGACTTGACAAACACAAATAAACCATATATTGTGTATTGTCGCAATCATGTTTAAAGTCTTCATGTTTCCAAACGTTTCTGTTTTTCTGAAAACAACTGTTTTCATACAGCGATTGCTGGATGCTTTTGTCCATATTAGGAATTTCCTCATTCGACTTTCTGTGGAGAGCGCCCTCCGGCTTCGAGTATGAATGAAACATACACTGCACGGAGTGTTTAGCGCTCCGTGATGTTCATCTCGCCTTATTCTGGGTCCGAATAAAACATCAGATCATGCACAGACTATCCTGTCTCTTTGAATTTAAATCTATATTTATTCACACCGGCTCTTGAAAACCTCTATGCGAACACACTTGCTCGAAAAAGTGCGGGGGATTCTTGAAAACCTCTATGCGAACACACTTGCTCGAAAAAGTGCGGGGGACGAATTTACGTGATATTAAAAGTGGGGGGGACAAGTCCCCCGCGTCCCCCGCGTAATCTACGCCCCTGCAACAAACACCACTAGATGTCATCCTACTCTATCAGTCTTTTTTTCTTCTAACCAAATCAGTTCATTTCATTAGTGCAAATCACTTTACATTTGACTTTGTGTTGTAACCATAGACTGTAACACAGCATACTCACATAGCTCTGCCAATAGACCGTCAGAAGTTGCCACATTTCCAACAAGTGACATGTAGACGAAGGGTCCCTCCTGCACGGTCAAGCAGCCAGAGATGAGCAGAGAGTTACGAGCAGGTAAAACGTGAACGTTCCTGCATGCACCTTTGCACTTACCAGAGTAAAATGAACTATTGCGTCGTAAAACAACCACACGAGGACCCACCGATCAACAGCTGAACATTTATTCCCACATTTTTGCGCAAAAACAAACCCGACAGCAAACTGAGCCACACACGCGAGTAGAGAATAAACCGTTACTTTAGTGAAAAGTGCAGGTTCTTCGCCTTCTGCCATTATATTTGTAGTAACTTACTTCACTCGGTCTCAGGTCAGTGGCTGAATGACATATCCAAGGCCCAGGGCCCGCCCATGGTTCTAACGCGGGAGCTTTGCAGCCATAGGCTCACGCAGAACTCTCTCCACTTCGCCCGTCTACGTCACAGAGCAGAGTACGTTTTGGCGGCAAATTGTTTTATTCCACCAAGTACTTTTCTGCCATTATGTAATAATCATATTCAACGCCATAATATATGTAGACATCATAGAATTACCTGTCAAACGTACAAATATCCCATTTAAAAACGGCTAGGAACAGCATGAAAATATATCAACAGTAACATTTGCAATAGAGCTTTTCAGTCATGACGTCGATTTGTAGTCCACTGCAGAATTCTAATTCCAGCCATGGATGCCCTTAGGAATTTCATATGGTGAAAATGTTCGATTTAAGATTAAAGTTACTAATTTTGCTCTTCAATCTAAATTGCAATTTTTTTAAACCTACTTTGTAAAACCAACTTTCTAATAAGTTGGGAGCAAGTTGATCCCTCATGCACACAGGGACTCTCGTCCCCTATGGTAGTTGTAGTCCTTATGAAGCACATTGCATTTTTTTTTATTTTTATTCATACAGTGGTTTTAAATTTCATGTTTGAGGTATGACCGTCTCATTTATGTGTATTTAAGTTTCTTTAAATAATGTAAAGAAATAGATTATTAAAAGTCATGTCTCAAAAATGCTAGTTGTCTTCAACTTGATGGCCAGCAAATGTAAACACTGACCTTATAATGTGGACGCAGGTGACTGGTGTGTTTCCTGATTTAATTTATCTGATTTAATCTCTCTGTAAGCTCACAAGAAACAACATAGAGCATTGCACTTATTAGAAAAAGAGAGAAAAAGACTTCTGAATAGAAAAAGCCAAATTAAATACCAGAACAGGGACAAGAATTAAAGCTAACAGGTAAAAGAGAAGAGACACCAAAGCATCAGAAGGTCAATCATAAAAGAGCAATAAAAAGGATGGCTAACAGCAAGTTTATTTTGGTTAGGTTCATTGATACATAAAGCACGTCCTGAGGGAGTGATGAGTGAAAGATGTGTTGCCATAGACAGATAGGTTGAGAATTGTGGGTAATTGTGATCCATATGAAAAGAATGAGAAGGGAGCAAAATGGAAGTTAAGGGGATCAATTACAAGTCAGCCAGCAGACTAGAGGAGAATTTAATAAGAATTATACTATACTCCAGAGAACGTCTCATCGTAATGTCCAGAGATAGGCAGACATAACACCCAAAAGACCCCATATTATAAGCAGCTCCAATGCAACGTGGTAGGCATTATGAACCTTTTTTAGTTGCTTTGAAATGAAAAACAAAAGGCACAATGAATTTCAACTCATTCTTTATCTTTAATATGCACAGTTGAAAAAAAAAAAAAATACTGATGAGCCACCTTAAAGAAAAATTCAGTTCTAAAATTTATAAAAACATACAAACAATCAGAGGCCAAAATGCGATGTCGCTTTTTTAGATTTTTTTTTTTTCTTTAGCAAGTAAAAATCTTGCAACAAGCAATAAGCTTGTATCCATTTCTGATACAAGACAAAACTTCTTTAAAGTGGCTCGTTTTCTAGTTGTCTAGATAAGTTCATGAATTTCAAACCTGTTTTTTCTTTTTGTTCAACAATAATGGCTAATTCAAAAATCATCAGGGCTGCCTTCAGCTTCCTTACTGTCTTTTTCAGCAGTTTGCGGCCCAAACATAACTACTTTAGTTCAAATGCATTTTTCCCCATACACCCCTTTACAAGTTAATGCACAGGGAAAAATGAAGAAAAACAAAACATCCAGTCACAACAGTAAGTTTCCAAATTTTCCAGCCCATTTTCCATATAATGGCAATCATTTGCCATTACAAAACAAAAGTTAAAACAAAAAAGAACAAACAAAAATTACCCCTATTGGCTGTAAATCAATAATCACAATATTATTATTGTTCTGTAGCATCCCAACAATGTCTAGTGGACCTAAGTGTGGTAGCTTCGCATTATATACCTAAACAAGAAATATACTTTTATTTTAGTTGGTACAATTAGGCTTGGTAGCAAGTGAAATAAGATTAAAAACCAACTAAACAAAAAAAGGAACCACTATGTCACGGATCTCCTTTTCCCATTGCTTGTATAGTCAAAATTAAGCGAACATCGCTCTCCACTTACATTAAGCAATAAAACGGGAAAACCAAATGTGTGCGCGTAAGACTGGAAAAACTCCAAAAAGCGGAAGCTCTACTGATCAAAAAAAGAAAGAAAAAAAGAATTCACAATCCAATCACTGTTGCAAAGTTTCTTGTGGTTTTGACTACCAAGTGACGAAATGAACTGATTTAGTGAAAATATCCTCCATCCGGTTACAACTGGGGTTATCCCAATGAACTTATTACTATGGTTACAGACAGGAAGCAGAGAAGATGAATCCAGAAAATAAAAAGCGCTCCCAGAGCACCCTTTTTTAAGCAGAAAGACCAGTTAATGTTTTCTCAAAGAACTTCCAAAGGTTGGGGCAGCCCTTTAAAAGTCCTGGCCAAATTGACAAATCACATAGGATCCTCCTTTGACATGTCCGACAGTCCCACTGCAAACCAAAAAAGATCGGCACAATGAATGTCCAACTACACTATCGCTGCAGAAGTTCGAAAATGAGGGTG